AACTCTACCCCAAATTAGAAATTACGGGGTTGTAAAAAGGGAGTTTTATTTAAAGGAAGAAACAGATATCAAATGAAATAAAAGGCATTGTAGTATGGATGAACCAGATGATAACTAGTTCCAGCATCATTTTCATTAAACTTACATTCTTCCTTTCATCTGTTAGTAGCACTACTGTTTTTAGGCATGTCTGCTTGTCTGAAGAAGAAGTGCATGGAGCCAGTTCTCCCAAAAGGACATGTGTGTCATTTTTAGTGGTCTGTACATATGGAAGAACAAATACAATTAACTAAAATTATCTATTAAAGAAAAAGTGCTTCTATCTATCATCTATCTATCATCTGTCTGTCTGTCTGTCTGTCTGTCTGTCTGTCTGTCTGTCTATCTATCTATCTATCTATCTATCTAATGTCTAATCAATCTCTCATATGGAAGAACAAATACAATTAACTAAAATTATCTATTAAACAAAAAGTGCTTCTATCTATCTATCTATCTATCTAATGTCACACACACACACATACACACACACACACACACACACACACACACACATATATATAAACTCATCAATATCTATCTATTGCTATTGGAGATCCAGCTACCCCAAATCACACTCAGTGTCTCATTTCAGATTCATAGCAATCTTCTTAGCCTGGTCCTAAATTTCACTGCATTTTATAACATGGTATAAAGGACTTGCTTTACAAATGGGAAACGTGTGCTATGTGTTGGTACGTCTCCCTACAACAAAATAGCAGCAGTCATCAGAGCTATATAGTTCTGGAAGGTATGCTCTACATTATACAGTGCAGTCAGCAGATGTCAGACTGGCTGTGATGTCTAGTGCTGAATTCTCTAAAGCTGAGAATTGTCAGCCCCCGTCTCATCCCCCACAAAATAACAGCTAGCATCAGATGTACAACAAGAAGGTGATAAATGGAATGAACTTGCCAATGCATATAATTTACCTGTAGTCAAGTTCTGCAGACATTCTAACAGGCAGAATTAATAATAATATTAAGTTGCCCAATACATAAGTCAACTGTCTGTGCATGAATCCCCCCCCCCAAAAGAAAGGAAATAAATTCAACTCATACCATAATCAGGGCATAAAACAATTTAGAAATGCTCAGAGAATTTTATCTTTTTGATCAATTTACCTGATCCACATTGCCTGAGCTTCTCTGGAAATTAGAATTAGTTGTTGATCAACTATTATATTTCCTAAATGTTTCAGTTCAGTTCTTAGTCCCAAATGTTTCAAAATATAGATTATGGAAATGCATATTTTGAGAGAAAATACATACTGACATGATATTTTTGAATATGTTTAGAATGTTTGTTTTTGAATACAGTTAAAACCATAATTTTGTTTTTATCAAAAAATATGAATGCAGAAATAGATTGAACATGGGCTAGAACTCTATCTGTTTGACCATTAAAAAGATAAAACTGTCCCTAACTAAATGTGCTTGTTTTTATAGCTATGGGAGAAGTGGATGAATTACATCATTTGCTTTATAAACCAAAGGACCCTATAATCATTAAACCCATTTAAATACCACTGAAAAAGTTATGTTAATTTTGAATGCTCATTGATTTATTCTATAGATTTCTTCAGTTGGCCTTTGGAGTTGTGCCAAATATCTTTTGGTGATTGCTTTATATTGTTCTATAGAAGTGATTTAATTTTTTAAATGTTTGTGTTTGATATGTATTTTATTCCAGTTATTCCAATTTGGTAAACCACTTGGTTATTTCTGTATCAAAATATAGTTGCAATGACTGTTATGATGACAATAATGATATCAGAAATTTCTTTTCTAGCCAAAGAAAATATGGCAAGTTTTAATTGCAGATGTTCTATGTTTTTGAGATAAAAGGCTGGGAGCATTGCCATTTCTGCAGAAGGAGCATTCAAAATTAGCATATTGTTTTCAGTGGTATTTAAATAGGTTTGATTATTATAGCGTCCTTTCCATGTACATAAAAGATGATGTAATTCATCCACTTCTCCTGTATCTATAAAAACAAGCACATGTGTCAGCAACTGAAAGAAAGGTTCAAATTGGATAAAAAGTGCTATGGTTTTGAATTGGAAATTTTACTATGTGATAATGATGAACATATTATTGCTAAGACTTATAAAATGTTATTCAGATTCAATTTGGAAAATGAATATGTAAAACATTGTATGATTCAGTGGGCAAGGAATTTTGGATATAATGTGATGCTTGAACAATGGAAAAATATGTGGATGAAGGGT